CTCTTCTCCAGTTTTAGTGTGGAAATTCCTAAAATCTTTCGGTTTTTGTAGACCAGCTACGTTGAATTGTGGTCCTTCTCTGTCACTTGATGAAATCAACCAACATTTCGCTTCTGTAAAAGCACTGGACCCTACAATTCGTTCCCAAACTATGGGCTCCATTGCTTCTATGCAAATTCCTAACATTCATACCTTTAATTTTTCTCCTGTTTCTCAGGATGATGTCAAAAAGTCGATTTTAGCAATCCAGTCCAAGGCCGTGGGTTATGACGAGATTAGCAGACATATGGTAGTTTTTATACTAGAGCACCTCCTCCCAGCAATTTCCCATATAATCAATTTTTCCCTTGGTTCAGGTCAGTATCCCAATCTTTGGAAGAGGGCTTTTGTAAAGCCTCCCCCAAAAGTTCCTACTCCCATTCTTCCCAATCATTTTCGTGCAATATCTATTCTACCATTTCTTTCCAAAATTTTAGAATTCTGTGTTTACAAGCAAATTTCTATCAAGAAACATAACCTACTGAGTATATATCAGTCTGGGTTCGTCCTTGGTCATAGTACCACTACGAAGAAAAAAAATATAACGGTACTGGTTGAGTTGATTTCTCAAATGCTTTCAACACAGTTGATCATGAAATCCTTCTTTCCATATTATCTCATCTGAATTTTGGCCCTACTGAATTGGATTGGTTTGCATCTTATCTTCGCGGTCGACAGCAGTCAGTCAGTGTGGGGCAATTGTCCTCAGCTTGGGCTGATGTGGATGCTGGTGTGCCGCACGTCGGTATTCTTTCTCCTATGTTTTCAATTTTTATAAACTTTATTACCCCCATCATTGACTGCTCGTACCATTTGTATGCCGATGACCTTCAGCTTTATGTGCAAACTGAGATTGGGGATATCCATAATGGGATCAAAAACCGTAACGGCAACTTAGCAGCTATCAAGGATTGGTCTACTCGTTATGGAGTATTGGTTAATCCTTTGAAATGGCAAGCTATACTGGTGGGTAGCTCAAGGATGCTGGCTAAGATTAATCTGACAGACTTACCTCCTATTTACTATGATAATACTACAATTCCATTCAATAATTCTGTTAGAAATCTTGGCCTTCACATCGACAATACACTGAATTGGAGAACTCAGGTTTCAGATGTGAGTCGTAAAGTCACTGCCACGTTATGCTCTCTGTATCGTTTAAAACATTTTCTTCCCACAAAATCTAAGATCATGCTTGTCCATTCACTTATATTACCCATAATTGATTATGCAGATGTGTGTTACCCAGACCTGTCCCAAGATCTTCTGAACAAGCTGGAACACCTCCTCAATAACTGTATAAGATTTATCTTTGGGCTTCATAAGTATGATCATATTTCGCAATACAGATCTAAGCTAAATTGGCTTACAATCCGGCAGAGGCGCAACTCTAGAATATTACTTGTACTTTTTTCCACATTAAATGACCCATCTTCGCCTTCTTATCTTAAGAGTAAATTTCATTATCTTTCCTCATCTCATGATAGGGTCCTACGCTCTTCTTCTAACAACAAAATCTGTACTCCAGTTCACTTCACCGAGTTCTATGGTAACACCTTCACAGTTCAGGCTATACGCCTTTGGAACTCCTTGCCCGATGACATCAGAAAAGCTCCCAATAAGTGCGCTTTTAAAAAGTTGGTCCGTGATCATTTATTAAAGACAAAGCATTTTACATGACTCATCTATTTATTTAATATGTATTTCCAAACAGACGTCATTTGTATATACTAATTATGTATGTATTTAAATATGTATACTTGTATGTATATCCATTTATTTATATATTTGTATATTTGTAAGGTTAGATCATATATGTATAGTTTATTTATTAGTAGTTTGTATACATATGTAGGTAGTTAATTATCATAAACACCTACGTCAAATTCTCACCACTCCATGGGTTGACTGGTAGAGAAGTTAAGTCCGCCCTTTGTATTCTTTTGTTTAAGGATGCAATAAAGAATAAAATAAATAAATAATAAATAAATGACCTAAACATTTCTTTGCCTTACTTAATAAATAACATACGAAATGCCATTGTTAGCAATAATTCGTATACCACAGTAGCTAAAAAAATAATAACTTAAAATGATCGATTGCTTCTCTCAAGAATTAGATAAAGGCTACCAATCAATTGGCATTTTCCTTGAGCTTGTAAAAGCATTTGATACGGTTTCTATTCCTATCATATTAAATAAGTCAGAGAGCATAAGTATTCGAGGTAAGCAGCTACAACTTCTTGCGAACTATTTAAAGAATCGATATCAATGCATAAAAATCGATAAGGTTTTTAGCTCTGAACAAAAAATACTCATTTTGGCGTGCCTCAAGGAAGTGTATTAGGGCCAACCCTGTTTTTGATTTATATAAATGACCTTTGCAATCTCGAACTTAACTCAGGTAAAATAATGTCTTACGCAGATGATACCGTGCTCCTTTTTTCAGCAAATACAGTTGACAAGGTTTACTTATATGCTCAGCAAGGTTTTGATAGAGTTAATAAATGGCTCCAACAAAACAAATTAACACTGAATACGGACAAAACCAATTATATTAATTTTTCTATGCGCAGCTCAACCCAGCTTATAACCACCATTCCAGAAATTTATTCACATCAATGTTGCTCAGTCACAGAGTCTAAATCTAACTGCCCAGTTATTTCTAAAAAAATTCAAAAATTATTAAGTACCTTGGAACAATTATAGATTTTACCTTTACATTTAAAAACCACATTAACTACCTATGCAATAGAGTCCGTAAACTAATGTTTGTTTTTAAAAAGATTCGTTCTCTTGCTGATATTAAGATAGTAAAACAAGTATATTTCGCATTATGTCAGTCAATCCTCACCTATTGTATAACCTTATGGGGAGAAGTAGCTAAAACTACACTGCTACCACTGGAACGCGCTCAAAGAGCTGTATTAAAAGTTGCAATATTCAGCCCTATTCTATTTCTGTTTCATCTCTTGTATAAATCCTATAATGTCCTCTCATTGCGCTAGTTATTCGTTATGAGTACGTTACTAAAACAGCACTTAAAATTGCACTACAGAAGAGAGGTCACTGATAAAAGACGCAAAGATAAAGTAATTGAAACTAATATTAGAATAAGGAATTCTTTCATGCATAGATTTTTTACATTCCTCGGCCCTTTTTCTGTACAATCAAGTCAAAGCAATTTTGTACATATATCCATTAAAAGTGGCAAACTGTAAAAATGTAATTCGAACATGGTTACAAAATTTGTCATACGACGACACGGAGAGGTTGCTGATTGTTTTAAGTTAATTAATATCATAAGTAAATTAATGATAACATATTTTACCGAAATAACCCTTGTAAAGTTGTTATAAAATGAGACAACCATCATGTTCCAAGTCCTGTTTAATACCGTTCAAATTATAATAAATATAGCATTATTGGATACCGTGAGCCCACACTACACCTCCCACGGCATCATGAAAAAAAAGTTATAAATCACTTTTTTTTGCAATATCAGTACCAAAAAATTCATAAAATTACTACAACATACATCAAATTAATATTTAGTACAAAGAAATCCAATACAGATGGAACTTAACTTTTCTAATTTGAATTGTAGATCCAGAATTGACTCAAAACGTTTTTTTTTTTCTTTTCTTATTATATTTTCTTATTACGTAACATTATAAGCTACTACAAAAGATACTACTAAAATAATCTTCAACCTTAACATAAAGTATTAATGAAAATTACAAAAATAAAAGTACCTAACTAAAACATGTAATAAAATAGCGCTGTTAAAAACTAATAAAACGTATTTTTTATTCTCTTTTAAATTGATGTCCATTTAGATCAATCTTAAGAAACAAGATGGTTCTTGCTTCTTTTCTTTTTGTCAAGTCAGTGAAGATGTCGTAACTTCAAATTACAATCGCGATTTTATTTTCAACACAATGTATACAATAGGTATTTGCAATGTATTTGCAATAGCGGCATTATATTACATTTACTTCATAATATAGTCATCCATTTTAATTTTATTCAATTTTATTTCATACAGTCATTCATTCATATGTTACAGGTATATCCTTACTGTTTGGTGGCCCGATCCCATGTCACATATTAATATTTAGGTCACAATCTTGTACATAATTTCGTCACAATCTATTAATGCTAGACGTTTATATATTGCTTAACCAAACCAAAAATATTGCATTTTATTTTAAAATAGAGAACAGAACAACAGAATAAACAAATAATGTAATGCAATACAACAGGAATCGAAATACAACTTGCAATCCCAGCCGCGTAAGCGGTTTGTGACACCTTTGTTTTAAATTCCTTGGTACGTTTATGGTTCCCATAAATTTTTCGCTTACGTCGTATGATGGTGCCTAGTTTTAACAATGCATTAAAATGGCATCGTGAATAAAATGAATTTATCTTTCGTAATAGTTTGTACCTCTAATTATAAATTGTTACATTCCATTTTAAATTCACTTTGTAACAGCATTATGCCATCAAAAATATAACTTGTAAAAAAAAACAAGTTAGTTTGTCTACCGTAAAAAGTTGTGAGATCCATGTAATACAAAGTTGATTAACTTATTCAGTTCCTATTTAAGGGTCCTTCTGTTTTAAGTTATTACGTAATTAGCTAACGTAACAACATTTTATAGTGACCACATTAAATATATAGATTGACTTGGTCATCGCATGAAAACAATGTATTAGTTAGTACGTTATTCATTTTATATAAGAAACACCTGAGATACAAGTTTATCCTAGTTCAGGTGCCTGTTATTGTAGGCTATTTTTAAATTAAGACTTATTGGAATTATTTATACAGTTTATTAAAATAAATAATAATTATATTAATTATTTTATTAATTAATTATTAGTATAATGTTCATGAATTTAAGACAAAGACATAAATAAAGGACAATGTAATAAGGAACTCATATTTCTTTCCAGAATGTTTAATTTGCCAACCGGAAAAAACTAAAGGGGCGTTCAATTAAGGGATATATTAACAAAATTCTTTTATTATTTGAAAGGCCCGTATGTGCCATTAAGTTGAATATGACATCATTCAAATGTCCGTCTCGGTTTCATCTAACAAGAATGAGTACCTCAACAAGTATAATTGCTTCAACAAGTACAAGTGTTTCATTAGAAGTCGGAATTCGTGCAGCTTCTTTCGCAATGAGCCGACATTTCACATTGGATTACACATGTTTGCAGAATCTATTTTGGCATATAAAGAAACTAATCCGCTACAAAGTACTGAATAATCAAATACTTATTCAAGCTAAGTTCAACAGATCGACGAGAGAACAGAACCTCATCTGGATGCAAATGAGTATTCCAATTTCGTAATACAGTGTAACCTTAAGATACGTACCTAACCTATGTACCTATTATATAACGACTTCCTCGATTTAACAAATTCTTCGTGATTTCCTTGAATTTTCCATAAGAGTCAATGTAAAATATACCTTTACATTGCGAACATTTCTTGCGAACAACCTCTTTATAACGAATTTAAACTATCAAGAAAAACTTGTTACCTTCCGATTTGTTATATTGAGGTTGCACTGAATTAAAAAAATAATGCAAACATTTTCTCTACTGTTTTAAATTTCGTTAATAAAATAAACATACTACAAGTCTTTCTTCTGGACTCACAGCCTTTCTCAATGTCGTGTTTTGTTTCGTCACATGGGGTTTGAGAAAACCATATAGATTCATAAATTTAGCTGTTGACATGTAAATGTAATTAAAACGTCTTTCTTCATCATGAAGTAAATTGGGAACAAATAACGAATGATAAAATCCTCTCCAAATATTGGTCGCTTCAAATTCTTCTGCATCATTCAACAAACAGCTAACAACAATAATATCTCCATCAATCTTTATGACCGAATACGTTAACTCACGATAAGAAAACAATTGAAACTAAATTAAAAATCCGGAGACAGTGGACGCATGCCATCCGCAAATCCGTTTAATCCGGCGCGGGTCAATGGACGCGTACCTTTAGTATTAATTTTTTTTTTACCTTTATTATTAATCAATAATACTTTTTTATCAAGTATTTAAGTATCTTATTCACCGATGGAAGGTTATTCGTAGGTATTGACTAACATTTCTTTCTAAACACACACCATGAAATATTTTATCGGCCATTAAATATATCATTAAGGCTTTTTGGTTGCGGTTTTTTTTAATTTGACCATTTTTTATATTTTTCGTATACATAATATTTGTATAATTATTGAAAATAATATTGTAATAAATCTTGATAAATAATAATAAGTAAAGGCTGATTTATTCAATTTTATTGTGATTTCATTAGAATTTATGTAGATTATGTGATAAAAAGCACTGTGTTACTTTAAAAAAATTGTTATGTTATACTAAGAAAAAGTTAAGGGTGTCCGGCCTTTTTACCAAAATGTCCGGCTGCTCGCTGGTCTATCCGGCTTTTCGGTTTTAAGACCTGGCAACCCTAAGTACGTAGTACTTAGTAGCTTAATGGTATAATTATGTTTCTTTTCGTTCATGTCAAATGATCTTTCAGCCATTTTCAGAATCAAATTTATCAATCAGAATCAAAACAATTTCCTACGTGTCGAGCACAATAGTGGTGGGGCGTACAACTTGTTCAATCATGTATTAGCAAGGATTGTCAAAAAAATATTCAATAATAAATAATAGACCAGGGCCGGATTAGCGGGGGTCATCTAACTGTACATTAACTTATATATACATTGGCAATTATAAGTTATATAGTCAATGTATATATACATCTTCGAATCAATCAATCAATATTTTTTTAATTCTAGATCTGATTTGAAGATTTACATAAAATTGTTAAAGAATACTTCGTTCATCTAGAATTCACTAAATAATTTTTTCTTTGCAATGTGAGTCCACCCACTATCTTTTCTTTTTCTTCCAATTAATTACTAGTTTGACGTACGTAGTGCGCCTCGCCTGACAACTACTTCTTCCGGCGACATTTTCCAAAATACTGTCGTATACTAGTTTCAGAATATCGTTTAACTAGTAAATATACTTCTTTGCGCCACCTCGTCAATTACTAGATAGAGGTAATATTTCACATTGGCTAATTAAGTATTATTTTAAGCTACTTAGTTCAAGCGCAGAATAAATAATAGGTTCGAGTAAAACTCGATCTGTCCGTGCTATATTATACGGACAAATTATTTAGAATAAAAGTGTATACTCATTATACTAATTCATGTAATATGTAAACCTACCAAATATTGGATTAAATGTAAACCGAAATCTTATGTAATAAAGATTTTTGAATGTGTAAATATTCTTTTATTAGAGTCCCAAATTAAAGTAAAATTTGTAAAACCAATAGTACAGCTCTGGTAGCGAGACAATAATGCTAACGAGCGCTTCTCAACTTTTCCACAAACGGTAGTTTGCATCAGCCCAAAGTAGTCTATGGCGGCGCAAGAAAACGGGCACTGATGATGCTGCAGTCTCTCGCTTGGTACGTCTACCGTGGGGAGTACCTCTGATAGACTCTTTTTAATTTCTACCATTAACAACTGTGTGCAAATTTCTTTAAAGCCGCTCTCAAGCCCAGGATCCTTTGTCGAATCTCGTTTATTACTGTAGCAATATTCTATTTGCTACGAAGGTTTTGAACTGCCTTGGTCCCGCCTTTATCTACTGCAGTGCTGTGCTGAAGTCAGTCGAAGTAGATCTTCTTTGATATTTTGAGCTTCATCTCTTCTTGAACCGTAGCAGCTAGTCTGCAGTCGAGTATAGGTGCAATTCCGTAGACGACTGCAGCAGGCAGCAGCAAGCGACGTGTCATCGCGACATAACTAATAGACAAGAAAAAATAGACATAGTTCTACGAAATACGTTCCGTAGTTAGCGACACGTCGTTTGCCTAGCTGCAGACCACACTGTAGCCCGACCGCAGATTAATAGTGCCGCCAACGCCCGAGTGACGACAAGTTTAAAAATGAGTTTGATCAATTCCGAGGAAGAGAAATCTATAACCCAGGTGGGCCAATATCCCGAACTGTACGTTCCCTCACTTCCTCTGCATTTCAACATAGGAGGTGTGTCTTTTCGTCTTTTCTCTTTATACTTGTATAATAAAAGCAAGTCATCATCATCTTCTTCCACTTCTAAAAAAGATACAAAAATAAATCGCGATCGCTAATTTCAAACACGTCAGACATCATGTCACACTGGACACACGGAACAGACAGGACATGGGCTGCTGTCGCCTGCAGTCGGATTCAGAATCATGACTGTAGCGACATGATACCACGAAATGTCGCAGCGATATATCGCGGCGACACGTCGCCTGCTGCTGATGCCTGCAATCGGCTAAGGAATTGCACCTTAAGGCCGTTTGTAACTCTAGTCTTGAAAAGGACACTGGTTTCATTGGCGATACTCTTGCTGTGCCGGCAATCATGGATATGTGGACTCTTCCTCCGAGCTCAACTGTCCTCCAGCAGATTACTGCTGGGTAAGCTTCTTAACTTGCATCGATGAACGAATGCATTTGAAGGTCAAATCCGCCGCGGGGTAAGACACACCTTGGATCTTCACTTTTGTTAATACTGACACTTCTTCGTAATAGTTCATCTAGGGTTCTCTTTGGGATTTATTAATTATTTCGTTCTAGTCTATCTTATTCGCCAAAGGTCTTGAATCAACTTCTTTCCTTGTATTAGGACTGGTGTTGCAAAGCCCATCGAGTCAAAGGTAGACATTACGGCGCTCGTGACTTCTCTCTTCGTTAGAGCTCTTTTACCGTCTAACAGTTCCTTCGACGTATTACGCAGACTAACATTGATATCCAGTTATCTTCTTTTACCAGCCATCTTAGCCCTAGAGTCTTCTCTTCTTTTTTAGTTTTCTTCATTGGTGCCTCCTACTTCTGATAGTACCTCCCCAATGTTGCTGGCCCAACCTTTCAGATGGAAGTTTGCTTGGGTTATTTCAATGAGATAGATTTACGTCTTTCTTCAGTATTTTTCGATTGCCCCCAGATGCCGACAGTTCTTCACGGTATCTTTATTTATGCATTGTTCGGACAGCTTCAGGTCGTCGATAGTTCTTGCAACGATAGTTCTCTTTTCTCTTCTATGAGCTCCCTTTATCTTTTATCTGAAACTTACATCTGCTGTTTTTCCGTGGTCAAAACTCTTACAATGCTTTTAATATTTTTCAAGCCTTAGGGTAGTTTCATTTCATTTATTTACACAAAAATATTATCAAAAACCTTAATTAATACTTTACAATAACAAAATACAAAAAATGTCTTCGTTGCGGTAAAGTTTCTTAGTACTTAACCATAAGTTATACCATAATACAGGCGGCGTTGCCAGGCGGCAGGAATGCACAATAACTTATCATCTACAATTAATAAAAGCAGAATTAGAAAATAGCAGCTTAGTGCTGCTATTTTACGCTGATATTCTGTGAGATGCTGTATATGTATTCTGATATGCTGTGGTGTGTGTAGAGAACCGGAGACCCGTTTAAGTGGAATCGAGGCTTTCTATCTTAGTCCTCAAGGGTGACAACGCATCTGCATATTGATTCTTAATTGAGGTTAAATGTAGATGTCTATGGGCAACAGCATCCACTTACCATCAGGTGGACTATGTGCTCGTTTGTCACCCTTATCCTATAAACAATAAAGCACGAATGGATCGGCTCGACCGGGGTCCTACCACGCTCTCACAGAATACCAGCGTAAAATAGCAGATTTACGCTGCTGTGTTTCATATGGCGACTGTAGAGAGCCGGAGACCGTTTTTACTGGAAATGGGGCATTCCATCTTAGTCCTCAGGGATGACAACGCATCTGCATTTTAATTTTTAATTGAGGATAAATGTAGATGTATGGGCCACAGCATCTACTTACCATAAGGTGGACTGTGTGTTCGTTTGTCATAGTATTATTCTTACCTTTCTTCTACCCTTATTCTG